CCCCCTGGCCTCTCCTAAAACATAAACTCCAGACGCTCAATTCAGCATTCCTTGGGCACTACGGTGGTGCCAAAACAAGGCATCTTTCATTAGCCCCATCCCAGCCCCTCTGATGTACACGGCAAGTCTCAGGGAGGGGGCAGGGTTGGTGCACTCTGGAAATCCCTCGCCCACAAATGGGTCCTTTGGGGCCATCACAAGCTGGCAGAATTTAGATCAGCCTTATAGCAGGGTCTGGTCATCTTTGCTCCACTTCTTAGTCTCCCCTCCCTCAGCCCGGCATTGAGAGAAACTTGACCAGACTCAAGGATCAGATCCTAAAGAGTTTTGACTGTACCAGGAATGTAAAATCAAACCCATTGGGTGTGATCCTTAGCTAGTGTGAACCAGTTTATACAAGGCCAGGATCTGGCTTCTAGTCTTATCCTTTCTCAAGAGAGAGGTGAAAATGAGCAAAGGCAACATGTGTTACAGGTGTAAAAGTCAACATAACTAAACATTCATGTTTGTTACAGTGAAACTGGAGGGTCTGATCAGAAACAGCATCTGACATTTTTGTGGACTATTTTTGTGGCAATGAAGTAGGTTCATGCCAGAAGAGACATTAGTATATAATGTTAATGGGAGCTTCGCCAGAGCAAGGAATGCAGGACCGGACCCTCAGTTCCACTCTGTGCTCTCGCACCTGGTATGTGGTTCACATAGGAGCATAAGGCGAAGAGACTAATTGCAGCAAAATACAGTTACAAAAATTCCAGAGCAAAGGAATCTTGCTATCGCTGGGCACGACTAACGACTGTGTCACTTCAGGATTATGTTGGTATTTTTCTGTTGAAGGCACTAAATACTTTGTGTCCTTTCCAAGAGATTTCTACGCTAGGTACTCCTCTGACACTGGTGTAAATCAGAAGAAACTCCTTTGACATCTGTCAAGATTTGATGGTGTACGAGAAAAATCTGGCTGTTCTGTCACTAATTTGAGTCAAGAGAATCAACACCAAGAACCGGACATATGCTCAGTATTTCACTACTGCAATTTACATTATGGCCACTTTACCAGTGAAACATGAGATTCATGTGTCCAACTTGGACACACTTATGATTACAAATCTTAGCAAGGATGTAAGTCTTCAGAGGCTTTTTATTTTTTAAACACTTAAACAACCAGCTCTAACCTCCCTCCAGCCTCCTCTCCCAGTATTTTCAGGCTCACAAAGTTTCATTTCTTTTCTGGTATAACTGCGTCTGCGCTAGGGCTTTTGCTGGAATAAAAAAAGCCATAAAACAATCCCACCCTAGTGGACATTAGTTGGGGATTGGTCTGGCTTTGAGCAGGGGGTTGGATTAGATGACCTCCTGAGGTCTCTTCCAACCCAGATATTCTATGATTTCTCCTGAGCAAAAAAAGTTTAATCACTATGGTGGTTTCTGAACTAACTATACATAAGGTATTCAAGTTCCTTGCTCAGTTTCACTAACCTCATTTAAAGCAGATATATAGCAACTATAACTAACTATGACTAATCAAAAGTACTGTACACCTGTAACAAGAACTACTTCCCTCTACTTTTGATGAATACCCTAGTGCAGAGGCGCTCAATCTTTCCAGACAACTGTCCCCCTTCCAGGAGTCTGATTTGTCTTGCGTACCCGCGAGTTTCACCTCACTTAAAAATTACTTGCTTACAAAATCAGACATAAAAATACAAAAATGTCACAGCACACTGTTACTGAAACATTGCTTACTTTCTCATTTTTATGATATAATTATAAATCAATTGGAATACAACTAGTGTACTTACATTTCAGTGTATAGTAGATAGAGCAGTATAAAATTTTAGTGTTGTACTGACTTTGCTAGTGCTTTTTGTGTAGCCTCTTGTAAAACTAGGCAAGTATCTAGATGAGTTGATGTAAGACTCTGCGTACCCCTGGTTGAGAACCACTGCCCTAGTGCCATCTGGTAAAACTTTTTTTTTTCCCCAAGGGACTTCAACTTGGCCTTTGATCTTGCACGTGCAATATTGCAGGCCAAAGTGTTCTCATTTAGCTTTCTGTCAAAACTGTAGTGGCAAATCAGATAACTAGACAATTAACGCTAACCATTGCCACCTATGGCTGATCGTGCTCATGAAACTGCATTTGCAATTACCGGTGGGTGCAGGATTCGAGGCTGTCTTTGAAAAAGTCGCCTGCAAAGTGTTAATTTAGCATTAGAAAAAAAGTGCAGCGCGAGTGGAACTACAAACTGAAGTCATCAGTACACAGAAGGGGCAGCCTTGGCAGCAGGAGTGAAAGCTGTCCTCTCAGCACCCTGCCAATGCGTCCTGAACGGGGGTGACCACCTCTCGGTCTGGTTCAGTATCCAAGCTCATTCAGGCTTCGGCCTGCTTACCAAAACAGCTAAGAAGGTTGCCAGCTGGAAGGTGGCTTTTGTGATGTGGATTAATTTCATGTACGCCAGTGGATAATAACAACTTTCAGCCGCTACCAACTTGGGCTGCATTGCAGTCTCCCAACTGTCTTATTGCCAGTTTTCAGAAACCCTGGGCCTTGCCACACAGTTTTGGAGACTGAAAGGAAGTGGGGGAGGAGGGCGAAAGGCATAACTTGAAGGCTTAACATCAAATGTGCTGTGGCCCAATTCTGAAGTCCTCAAGCAGGATGAACTCCCATTCCAGTTAGCAATGGGAGCTTTGCCCATATAAGGGCAGCAGACTCTCATTTGGGGAAAGGAGGAGGAAATAATGCTGTGGCCAGCTGATGTGAGAAAAAGAATGACATTTGTTTCAGTTGCTTGCAAGCTCGTAGTGTTAGAATAAATCCTGGTAGAGACGGAGTACTGCGCAATGGGCCGAAGGTGCACAAACACCGACAGTGCATGGAAAGAGAAACAACTGCCACACCCATTTCTCCAAATTCAATCCCTTCCTAAGCAGAACCTCCCATGACCTGATATGGGAGAAGAGCTGACACCCTCCTGAAGCCCACAAGGCACTTTGTCAATCTATTAGCCTGGCAGATGCTCAGACATGATGGTGATGGGTACCAGTACAAAATCCTTAAACAGAGAGAATGGGGAAGTATGATGGCATAAATAAGGGTTTCATTTTCAATGGCTGGGTTTCATCATACCCATACTTAGAAAGTACAAAAATAGACCAGTTTCACCCAACCAATTTAAACAACTCAGGATAGTTAAGTCCACAGCTGATTGCAAAGAGTTACAAAGGGATCTCATTAAACTGGATGACTGGCAAGAAAATGGAAGATGAAATTAAGGGCAAAGTAACACACGTTGGAAAATATAATCCCAACTCTACAAACAAAATGATGGGGTCTAACTTAGCTGTTACCACTCAAGGAAAAGATCTTGGAGTCATCGTGGAAAGTTCTCTGAAAACATCTGTACAGTGTGCAGCATCAGTCAAAAAACCTAACCAAATGTTAGGAACCATAAGTAAAGGGACACATAAGATAGAAAATACCAATTCTGCTTAATAAATCCATGGTATGCCCACCCTTTGAACACTGCATGCAATTCTGGTCATCCCATCTCAAAAAGGATAGATAAGAATCAGAAAAAGTACAGAGAAGGACAACCAAAATTATTAGGTGTACGGAACAGGTTTCATGTGAGGACAGATTAAAAAGACTGGAACGGTGCAGCTTAGAAAAGAGACGATTAAGAAGGGATCGGACAGAGGTCTATAAAATCATGACTGGTGTGAAGGAAGTGAATAAGGAAGTGTTATTAACACCTTTACATAACACAAGAACCAGGGGGCACCAAATGAAATTAATAGGCAGCAGGTTTAAAACAAACATAAGGAAGTACTGCTTCACACAACACACAGTCAACCCATGGAACTTGTTGCCAGGGTGTGTTGTGCAGGCCAAAAGTATAACTGGGTTCAGAAAAAAATGAGATAAGTTCCTGGAGGGTAGGTCCATCAATGGCTATTAGCCAAGATGGTCAAGGATACAACCCCATGTTCTGCATGCCCCTAAGCCTCTGACTGCCAGAAGCTGGGACAGGTCAACCCAGGATGGATCACACGATAAATTGCCTTGTTCTGTTCATTCCCTCTGATGCATCTGGCATCGGCCTCTGACAGGATACTGGGCTAGATGGACCACTGGTCTGACCCAGTATGGCCGTTCTTATTTAAAAGCTAGAGGGAAAACTGTATCCAAGGAATTACTGCTATTCTGTAACTTGTTCACGGGGAAGCCAAAAGGCAGCAAGACTGTCAGGAGGTGACAGCATCTTCCAGCGCCACCCCGGAGACCAAGTGCACTAAAAGGCGCACGTTTGGGCCAGCATCTAACCTCAGTGGGAGTGGAAGCAGAGTGAGCCGCTCTCACTGAAGCCGAAGTGAGTTCTCCTTTCCCCCTTATTACCAGCCCATCATCCATCAACAACAATCTTCTCACCCTCCACTTTCCGGGCCAAATGCCATCGCATACCAAAAACGAAGAAGGAAAAAAAAAAAGTCTCCAGGCCAAGCCAGGCCCTAGTCAGAGCTGCCTCTGTTCTCCCCGGTTCCCTTTCACCCCCCCAGCCCGGGGAGGGGGAGGACAAGGAGCAGACTGGCTTTCCCCCTCTCCATCCTGTTTTCCGGATTTTGTTTTTTAAGCGCTGCACAGCTCTGGGCTGCGCTTTCCCCTGGGAAACTCCCAGGGGCTGGGGGCAGAGCTGCAAAAAGGAAAAAGGCTCAACAGTTTGTCCAGCCCAAGGAACTCTGCAGATTGCAACACATGCAACTAGGGGTGGGGGGTGGATTGAGGCTGAAAACTCAGGCTCCTGGGGGGCTTCTTCCCTTCTACCCCGGGGGGGGGGGGGGTTCTTCCCCCCCCCCCCCCCCCCCCCCCCGCCCCCCCCCCCCCCCCGGCCGCCACACATCAGGGCTCATTCCTAGCTCCGGAAAGTGTGTGTGTGTGGGGGGGGGGGGGGGTGTCGGGGCGGCCCCCCGGCCCCCCCCCCCCAAGTGACTCACCTCCTCTTCCATGGCCGGAGCCCGCTAGCGTCCCCTCCTCGCCGCCAGTCACGGGCTGGTCCCCGGCCGGAGCCCCGCGGCTGGTGCAGACCCCGGATCCGGGCGCTCACACATGCCGGGCCGGGGGGGTCACTCCCGGCGGGGGTCCGGATCCGCCTGCCCGGGCAGCGGGACGTGCAGCCAGCCTGGCCCCGGCGCCTTGCCCCCGCCTCCTCCTCGCTCCGCTTCGCAACAACTCCGCTGCAGCGGCGGCAGGCGGTCGGGTTTCCGGTGGCTGGAGCCGCTCGCTCCGGCAGCCGGAGCCCAGGAGGAGGCGGGGTGCTGGGAACCGGGAACCCCCCCCCCCTCTGTGCGCCCAGCCACCGCCGCCTGCAGACCCAGCCTGCTGCGCCCCACCCGGCTCCTTCCCCTGCCTGCAGGGGCGGGACCCGCTGTGCTAGGGCCGAGCCCAGGGCGGACCAGGGGGGCGATGCCAGGGCTTGGCCCCTTCGCTCCTCTCCTCCTAAGGGGCAAGCCCAGCTGCCCCTGGCCGTCCCCGCTGGCCCTGTGTGCGGAGGCTCTGAGCGCCCCAAGCCACAGCTCGCTCTGCTTGGAAGCTCTTTGGGGCAGAGACCCGGCTAGCTGCGTGTGTGTGCGGACTACGCCTAGCCCAACGGGGTCCGGGTCCCTGACGGCCTCTCCTAGGAGCTACCACAATGCACACAATAATTGTCATAGAATGTAGGATATCAGGGTTGGAAGGGACCTCAGGAGGTCGTCTAGTCCAACCCCCTGCTCAAAGCAGGACCAATCCCCAACTAAATCATCCCAGCCAGGGCTGTGTCAAGTCGGGCCTTAAAAACCGCTAAGGATGGAGATTCCACCACCTCCCTAGGTAACCCATTCCAGTGCTTCACCGCCCTCCTAGTGAAATAGGAAATAGGAAACCTTCACTGTCTCTTCTCCAGCCCCATCCCGATTGGCCTCACTGTGCCCGGTAGGAGAGGACCTGGGAAAAGGATCCGCACCATCTTTGCGAAATGAGGTGTAACCGGGCGTGGCCGTTCCTGACCCCAGGGGAAACGGCTTGAGTAGGAGACAACTCCTCCCCCACCCCCAAAGAATTGGCTTGCAAAATGTTTTGTACCAAAGTGTAGCCCAGTGGGGCCCCAATCCTGGTGGGTGCTGCTAGGAGACGCTGGGTGTCAACAAGTCGCGTCTGGCTGCATCTGCTCCATACCGGTGCACAATATTCATCTGCCGACTATCCAAGTGCCAGTGCAGATGTTCGCAACACTGATGCCGATGCACCCCAGGTTGTGCCTGCGAGTTTCTGAATGACATAGGCTCTCGTTTTTATCTTTTCAGCAATGATAATTGCCATTCCAAAGCCTGGGAAGCCCACTGATGAAGCGGCTGATTTCTCCACTGTGCATGACCTATAAACTTCTTGAGCATATCATCCTTAAAAGAATACGCCCTTTAACGGAGCCAGTTATCCCTGTGAAACAGGCAGGCTTCAGGCCAAAACGTAGTTGTTGCGACCATGTTCTGGCACTCACAACTCACACTGAGGCTGGCTATCAGAAAAAACTAAACTCTGGCGCAGTATTTGTCAACCTGCCATCTGCGTATGACACTGTATGGATTAAGAGCCTGATGCTGAAACTTGCAAGAATTATATCTTGCTACCAAACACTTTGCCTGCTTTGGACCATGCTTAGTAACAGAGTAATAAGACCAGCTCACCCCGTACCATAAACAACAGGCTACCACAAGGTTCTGTACTCCCACCAACCCTTTTTAATATTTACATAAGTGACACGCCTCCAGCTAAATCACTTAAATTTGGATGTGCAGATAGTCTTGCCAGGACAATCCAAGCGCCAAACTTCCATGACATTGAGGAAGCATTAACGGAGGACCTCCGAATTATGGAACAATGCTTCCAGAAATGGAGGCTCAAACCAAACCCTGGAAAAACAATAGTAAATGCATTTCTTCTTGATAATAGGAGTGCCAAAAACACACTGAACGTAGCTTTCTGTGGTAAAAATGTGCAACATGATGATGCCCCAGAGTGAAACTTGACCGCACCCTCACCTTCCATGATCACCTTGAGAAGATAGCTGCAAAGACAAAAACAGATGGACTAACGGAGGCATGGTGTGCAGGGTTACAGAGGGGGTTACTGTCAGAGCCAGGTCAGAGATGAGGAGATCCTGAATTCCATCTATACTCAGACCACTAAGCCACATTTCTCTCCCTGTAGTAGGGAAACCCCTATTAATACCCTTTTAATACTCTTAGCTTGAGTGCAAAGCCCGGGGGTACCGGTATATGAAAATAGGGACTGAGCATTTCAAAACAGGCCCATATAGACCCTTTAAACAGCTGGTCTCTTTTCCTTTCCTATTTTTATAGTAATTTTTTCATGGTCAAATGACACTAGGGTCAAAAAATCCTATTTTTAATTCAGGAGAATTCAGTTCATTTCAGTCCTGTGTATGCTTTCCCCAACGAGTGGCTGCAGAAGGTGCAGGAAGCAAGTTTACTCTGTGGATTTCAAATCTGTGGAATAAAAGAAAAATATTCAGAAAAATGACAAAGAGATTGAAGTTGGACAGACCTTTTGCTTTCTGGAGATCAGCCATACTTCCATCTGACATGAGAGCTGATGTTAATATAAGCTCCGGAATTTTTAGTTTCTTGAAATATTTCAAATAAAAATATTCACACGTGACTTGTCACCTTTCATCAGTTCGGTCCCTTATTCGTGTAACAAGAAACTGCTTACTGGCTGCGTCACTGACCCTACTGGTGTTCCGTAGGCCATGCTCCCCTATCCTTGGGAAAGTTGTAATCCTGGCTCCTCGGGTATGCAACCAACCAACTGCTGCTGCAAGAGTCAGCGTAGCTGATTCAGTGCTGAATGGTGTACCAGGTGTAGTCATGAAATGAGCTACTTCGGTAAGCCAGACACAATGCCAGCCTTCATCGCCCACTTGTTACATCTTCAAACAAGCACCTTCATGCTTTCTCCCAGGCTGCCCCTCATGCTTGGGAGGAGCTCCCCGTAAACACCCACAGAGCTACCTCATTGTCTTCCTTCAAATCCCTTCTTAAAACCCTCCTTTTCCATGATGCCTACATAACACTTGACAATGGTTAGGCAGCTGGTGTGCTAAGACCTCTGCCTATCCTGCTAACCAAGATTGCCTCTTGTTTCCTTGTACTCCCCAGTCTGTCTGTCTGTCTCCACCTGTTGTCTCGTCTTACACGTAGGCTATGTCTACACTGCATTTTTGTCGGTCAGGGGTGTGAAAAAAACACTCGGGGGTGGTTTTATTTTGCCGGTAGGAAAGCTCTCTCCTGCCGCTGGAAGGTATGCAGTGTAGACATGGCCTTAGCCCTGGTCTACACTGGTGGGGGGGGGGGGGGAATTGATCTAAGTTATGCAACTTCAGCTATGCGAATAACATAGCTGAAGACGACGTACTTGATCGACTTACTGTGGTGTCTTCACCGCGGTGAGTCGACTGCTGCCGCTCCCCCGTCGACTCTGCCTGCGCCTCTCGTGGTGCTGGAGTACAGGAGTCGATGGGAGAGCGCTTGGGGGTCGATTTATCGCGTCTAGACTAGACACGATAAATCGATCCCTACTGGATCGATCGCTGCCAGCCGATCTGGCAGGTAATGTAGACATGGTCTTAGATTGGAAGCTCTTTGGGTAGGGACCACCTTTTTGTTACGTATGTACAGTGCCTAACACAATGGGGTTCTGGTCCATGACTGGGGCTCCTGAGCAGTGCAGCAATACAAATAATAATTAAGCAATAATGTAGTGAAAGGTGGCTTCCAATTATTATAACCTTAGCTTGCAGTTGGGCAAGGTTCTGACATCTCTGATGTAATAGCTTTGTTATACAAACTATTTTTATGGTTTATTTCAAATGCTTTCCTTTCAGTGCTGACAGGGAAACCGTGCAAAGAAAACGCGATACCACTGCAGACATTGCTACCGTGAAATCTTATGACTATGCACTCGGTGTGTCCATTCCAGGGCTTAAAAGTTTTCATCCATCCTTCACAACGTGCACTATTCAAAGATCTGAGCAGAAAACTATGGACCACCATTGTAATTCATAGTTGTGGGTTAACTCAGTGTTGTATAATCTCAGATTGGAGCTGGCTCAGGTCCGTGGAATTGTTCTCTTGCTTGAATCTTCCTAACCATGACAGCGGTGATTCAGTTGGAAAGTGAGAACAATCCCAACTCACCTACAATTTTCTCTATTTGGAGGAGGATAAAAAGCCAATAACCTACATGTACGAAATGCCGAGCAGCCAGTTTCACCCGCGCTGCTATTGTGCCAATAAATAAATACATAAATCCACCAAATGCCTTACATGAAAAGTGGAGTTTAACACTCTCTGCTTAACTGACAGCTCTGCGGGGAAAAAGGCTCAGTGACCTGAAAGACAAGGTGTTGGCCATAACAATGACTTTTCTGGAAATTTTTAATTAGTAAAAAAGTTCAGAATACTTTAAGCGTGCTGTCACTGCTGGCGCTTGTGCATGGGCTATTTCAGTGCGTGGCTTACCCCACTGCATATATTCCTGTTTGTGTGTGGTACTGCATGCTGCAAACGCTATATTATTATTTATGGAGCACCACCAGTGCTGCAGACACCCGAAGCCACAGCCCCAAGGCGTTTGCAGACAGATACAGACTAAGCAGAGGAGACAGCACATGGGACATCAATATGAGCTGGAGGTGATGGTAGAAATCTAGCAATGGCCATTTTGTATAGATTTCTTGGAAGTACAGTAGTTTGAAGGAAGATTTGACGGAAGATTCTTTGTCCCATGAAGATGGAGACTGTCCCAAGCATATGGGCTGGCATTGCTTACGGTACAAAGATGTGGATGAGAAAAGATCCTTGTACATTTGGTCACAACAGTGCTTAGGCTCCTGTGGATCACAGTTTGCAAGAAAGCTCAGAGGGGGTGTGAAAGTAATAATACATAGCACCCTTTGTCTTCAAAGGCCGTTACAAATATTAATTACTCCCTGCAACATCCTGAGGCCCCCAATAGCTCCTATGCCAGAGTTTTAGATCGGGAAGGGAAGTGCTCTCTGCTCTTTACATTTCCAGACTATTGTCCTATTCATTGATAGACATGATGTAAATGTTTCTTCAAGAAACCAAAATGCAGTTACAAGGGAGTATAATGAGTCTGTGCTGGGTAGGAGGGGGAAGGAAGGTGCGTCATGAAACCAAGGAAGTTAGTTTGCAAGGGAAATCAGCCTGTGCTGATTTAACCCCTTCTATGCTCTAGCAT